AGAGAGAAAGAGAGAGAAAGAAATTGGGCTAACCCGAAATGGGGCTCAAGCTTACCAGATGCAGGACTCGAACTCACAAACAGTGAGATCATGACCTGAGCCAAAGTCAGATGCTTAACTGACTGAGCCACCCAGGAGCCCTTGTTTTTCTTTCTTGAGAGGATTCCTTGGAGTGGAATTGCTGTATGATTTACTTTTTTAGAAATTGCCAAACTGTTTTCTAGGGTATCTATAATGTTTTATATTCCCACTAAGTATGAAGGTTTTAGTTTCTCCACATCCTCACCAACATTTGGTATTATCTGTTTTGTTTTGTTTTGGTGGTGGTGTTTTGTTTTGTTTTTTAAGTAGGTTCCACACCCAATGTGGGGCTGGAACTAAGACCTTGAGATCAAGAGTTGCATGCTGTACTGACTCTGCCAGCCAGGCACTTTTGGTATTCTCTGTTTTTGTTTTTTTGTTTTGTTTTATTTTTATTTTTTTTTGGTAATAGTTTATTTTTGAGAGAGATAGAGTGTGAGCGGGAGAAGGGCAGAGAGAGACACACAGAATCCGAAGCCAGCTCCAGGCTCTGAGCTGTCAGCACAGAGCCAGATGCAGGACTCGAACCCACGAACCGTGAGATCATGACCTGAGTGCCCCCTGTGTTTTATTATTGTAACTATGAGTGTACGTGTATAATGGTGTCTCAGGATTTTAATTTGCATTTCCTTGATAGCTAATGATGTTGATCATCTTTTTACGTGCTGCTTAGCCATTCATGTATTTTTTTTTTTTTTTGGTAAAATGTCTATTCATATTTTTCTGTCTTAAAATGGTTTAAATTATTTTTATTTTTGAGCTTTGAGAGTTATGTATTGTGGATAGAGATCTGTTATGTGTATGCTCTGCAAATAATTTCTCCACTTTATGATTTTTCTTTGAATTTTCTCGATGGTGCCTTTTTGTAGCACAAGTTTTGTTTTTGTTTTTAAGTTTATTTCTTTTGAGAAAGAGGTGCGTGGGCTGGGAGGGGCAGAGAGAGAGAGAATCCAAAGCAGGCTCTGCACCAGTAGCCCAGAGCCCTACCCAGGGCTCCACTTCACCAACCTGAGATCATGACCTGAGCTGAAACTAAGAGTCTGATGTTTAACCACTGAGACACCCAGGCGCCCCAGAGGTGTTTGTTTTTGTTTTGCCCTCAGAGTTTTTAATGTTAATAAAAGTTCAACTTATCCATATTGAGTTGATTTTATCTCTGGTAAGGGTCACAGTTTTGTTTTTATATATGGATATCCAAGTCTCCTGGGTCCATTTGTTGAAAGATTCAGAGATACCTTTGAGCAGTGTGTCCTGCTCAAGCCTAGGGCTTCCATGGCCAGCAGTCAGACTGCACGAGGTTGAGCAGAATGTGGTAGCGTGTTAGTGCTCTGTGGTGAGCAAAGAAAGGAAGGGTTGTTGACCAAAAGCCTTGGTCTCCTTTCAGTTGCTTTTGGAAATAACTCTGCGCCATGGCTGGGATTTTTGTGGCTGCTTTCGGCCGTACTACGCTTCCCAGCATGCACTGCTCGGGCCTCCCTTGGGCGGGGCGGCGCCAAGCCAGACCGACCTAGGAGTTTGGCTGCGAGGGAAGGGCTGAGCCACGGGTTTTGGTACCGAGATCGATTTCTCAGGGTTTTGGCCTTCCTGAGAGACTAGCAAGCTGAACCTTAAGAAATACTACCTCTCCACTAAGACACACTCCCATCCCCTGACCCGCCTTAGCCTCCCTCTTGGTTTGGGCCCTGACTCGTTTCTTCTTCGAGTTTCCCGCGGGGACTAACCCTTGAAGACGACCAACCGCAGCCGAGATTTTGACGGCCTGGCCAACCAGAGACAAGGTGGAAGAGGCGGGGGTGGGAGCCGGCACAGCGTCCGGGAGAGAGTTTTTCCGTTTCCATTTTTCGCGTAGGGGGTGAGCCGCCCCTCCTGGGGCCCTAAGGGGAGCAAGGGAGTCACGGGGGGATGCAGAAGCGCACGGACCCTTCCCCGCTCGGGTGGGGATCTCGGCGAGGCCGGGCTTACCTTTCAGCAGCACCCTCCAGGGGTCTGGGCCCAGCCTCTGCAACCTTGTCGCACCAGACCCCTCTGGGCTCCTCAGGACTACACGCCAGCTGCCTAGACCTGTGGAGGGAAAAGAATGACCAGCTAGTTCGACAGGCCAAGGTAACGTGGTTGCTGGGACCCTTGCTTTGCAGCCCCAAATTATCAGAAGGAGGGTTTCCCGTGGATTTACCCCAGCTGACGGGAGGTATTGAGTTTGACCTTCCCCCAGGAGCCAGAAATGACTGGAGAAAGACATCCTTTGCCATTGTTGCAACGGGAGTAATAAGGATTGATCCTCAGTGATACCCCATTCCACATTTCGTAGGTGGCTCAGGACTCGCGTCAGTTTCTGAGAGGACAGCAGCTGGCCCAAGATGTGCTGGAAGGATTCAGGGGACTCCTGCATAGCCTGCAGGGTAAGCAGGATCCTCCTCAGGACGGTCAGTTATCCTTCTCCACAGCCAGAGACCAGTTCTGCATTTCTGGGATTGAGAAAATTACCCAGGGGGGCAGGGAATCCTGTTTAAGTCACAGACAAGACTGAAATGGAATTCTCTTTGGTACAGGTGAATCTCTGAGCCCTGCCATGCCCCCTCCCTCACTTCCCCTCACTCCCCAGCATTTGAAGAAATGGTCTCCAGGATGGTCCAATCTGAAGAACTTTCTGCCCTTTCCAAACTCTGTACAAAGGGTGATTCTTTATTGAGGCCATTTTGGTTGGGGTGATGTGATCTTTGGGTTTGGATCTTATCTGGGAAATCTTTCCTGGGAAAGTAGTCAGTGAGATCAGCATGTGTTTGCTTCAGGTCTCCCTGCAGCTGTTCCTGTTCTCCCCTTGGAATTGACTGTTACCTGCAATTTCATTACCATGAAGGCAAGCCTGGCCCAGGGTTTCACTGAAGACCAAGCACAGGATATCCAACAGAGCCTGGAGAGAGGTGAGGGCTAGAGATTGCTTTCCATATCCCGGCCAGCCTGTTTGGGTTTAAGTCCTTGCAAAGGGGATGAGAGGAGCAGTAAAATCTGTTACCGCCAGGGAGAGAGATGCCCTTTTCTTATCCACCAGGTGCTCTTTAGCCCAGGAGCACCTTTGTGACCTTTGGGCTCCTGCAGAAAAAGGAAACCAGAGATGAAGTCCCAACTTCAGCTGTATGTGTGTATCTTCTACAGTGCTGGAGACCCAGGAGCAGCTTGGGCCCAGACTGGAATGTGGGCTCAGGGGGCTGTGGGACTCTGTTCTCCATTATTCCTCTGTTCTGCTGGAAGAGCTACTCCCTGCCCTTCACCACCTGGCTGGCCTGCAGGCTGCCCTGTGGCTAAGTACTGACTGTCTTGGGGACCTGACCTTGCTGCTGCAGACCTTGAATGGTAACCAGGTAATGTGGGAAGTAACCTGTATCTAAGGGCCTCTTCCCTTCTTTCAACCCTCTCAGCTGCAGTAGCATCATTTTGTGCTGGGAAGTTCTGCTGGGTTGGTGGTCAGAAGACCTGGGTTCTCTCCGGGACTCTTGGTGACCTTGTTTTGCTTGGTCTCTCATTGGGGGGATTCTCTTGAGTGGTTTTTAAAATAGCTTAATGATCTTGGATAGGGTTGGGGCTTTTATGATCTTGCTGAAGTGTCCTCATGGGCTTATACTGAATGAGAAGGTGCACTAGACCAGATCATCTGTGCCCCAAGTTTTTCTTCCTCCTTGCTGTCTCTCTCTTAGAGTTGAGGGAATAGGAATCAGGAGGACCCTTGATTTCAAGGTCCGGCCAGGATAGACTGAGATAGGAGAAGAGGTGGTTATAGGCTTGGAGCTTCTGATCATCCTTCTTTCCTCAGAGTGAGGCCTCTGAGGATCTGCTGCCCCTTCTGAAAACTTGGAGCCCCCCAGCTGAGGAGTCAGATGCTCCATTGACCTTGCAGGATGCCCAGGGCTTAAGGGATGTCCTTCTTACAGCTTCTGCCTATCGCCAAGGTCAGCTAGCAATCTGACTCATCCCTTCCTCCCCACTCCCTGTCTTGAGGAGTCCTTTGGCTCATACCTTCCTTGTCATGTCCCATTTAGCTCTGTGCTCTTGTTCCCTGTCATGCCCCTTGCCCTGTAGGCTTCTTTAAGTTTACACCCTGATTGCCCTCAGGCCTCCAGGAATTGATCACAGGAAGCCTGCCCAAGGCATTGAGCAGCCTGCAAGAAGCAGCCTCAGGTCTGTGTCCACGGCCTGTGTTGGTCCAGGTGTACACAGTCCTGGGGACCTGTCTTCGTAAAATGGTACAGACAGTCTTAGGGTGGGTTGGGAAACCATGGGTGTTATGAATAGCTTTCTGCTTTGTGAGGTAGCTAAGGCTTGTGTTCTCTCACCCCTCTAGGGCAATCCACAAAGAGCTCTGCTGTACTTGGTTGCGGCCCTGAAAGGGGGATCACCCTGGGGTCCTCCGCTTCTGGAGGCTTCCAGGGTATATCAGCAACTGGGGAACACAGCAGCAGAGCTGGAGAGTCTGGAGCTGTTGGTTGATGTAAGGAACTGAAGATATGGGGATGGCTGAGGTGCTTGTATTAGGGAGAATAATCAAGTTGTAAATAGAAGGAAATATGGCGCCCAAAGATTATAGATATACTTTTTCTTTGTGTTCCTTTTAGGCCTTGAGTGTCACTCACAGTCCTGAAGCCCCCCAGCTTCTTATTGAAGTAGAGTTACTACTTCCCCAACCTAACCCAGCCTCACCCCTTCACTGTGGCACACAGAGCCAGGCCAAGTACCTGCTAGCAAGCCGATGCTTACAGATAGGAAGGTGAGGTTCCACTGCCTTGATCATCTGAGTTCTTCCCATTTCTGATACCTTCCCTGGGATGTGACTCTGCTTCTGTTCTTTCGTATGGACAGTATGGACAAGTCAGTGGTAGGACATAGGTTCCCACTCTTCAGTCTCCTGCCTTGCTGATGGACCTGAACTTAGGACTCTTCACCCAGACACTAACTCCTATATCTTGAAAACTCTGAAATCTCCTCCCAGATCCATTCTGTAAGGAGGGTATATCCATAGTGAGCTAGGATTGGAGTTCCAAGACCCCACTTTTCCTACTCCCCAGGGCCCTTGAGCATCCCTTTGTTAGCTATGAGCCTTTGGAGGGCCCTGCTAATGGCCTAATATGAAGTTCATGGGCTATGACTTCTTAGGGCAGAGGACGCTGCAGAGCATTACTTGGACCTGCTGGCTCTGTTGCTGGATGACTCTGAGCCAAAGGTGGGTATGTCTTCAAGGTTCTCTACAATAGGGTGGGAGGGTTGGAGTCTAACTTTGGAGTAGAGCAGGACTACTGTTTTCTCTTTTTTCTTCTGCTGTTCTGTCTGTCCAAGCTGCAAGGACAAACTAGGAAGGTTCTCAGAATAAGTGGTCCAGGGTAGCAAGCAATGGGTGGTCTCCATGTGGTACCAGAGCCTGGTGAAGAGGTTGGGGATGGTGGCCAATGTCTCTTCAAGACACTGCATCCTCCTTCCACCCCAGTTCTCCCCACCCCCATCCCGTCCAGGGCCCTGCATGCCTGAGGTGTTCTTGGAGGCAGCAGCAGCACTGATCCAGGCAGGCCGAGCACAGGATGCCTTGACCGTATGTGAGGAGCTGCTCAGCCGCATGTCGTCTCTGCTTCCCAAGATGCCCCAGCTGTGGGAAGATGCCAGAAAAGGAACCAAGGAGTCACCACACTGTCTATCCTGGGTCTCTGCCACCTACCTGCTTCAGGGTCGAGCCTGGGTGCAGCTGGGGGCCCAAAAAGAAGCAATTAGTGAATTTAGCCGGTGAGCCCAGGAAGCCAACCAGGATCCTAGGGGAAGTGTGGAGGGATAATTTGCTGATTGGGACCTGAGTTGGTAAGCTCCATACTTACCTACTCATCCCAGAGTTATTGAGGTTGACTCCTCTTCATCCCTGTTCTTTGTCCCACTTCAGGTGCCTTGAGCTGCTCTTCCAAGCCACACCTAAGGACAAAGAACAAGGTGATCTAGACTCTCGGTTTTCCTCTTCCCTCTTGGAAGTGGGGGTGGTGAATGTGTTGCCTCTCCATGCGTCCTAGCCTACTATGAGGCTTAAAAGAAAGGAACTGCAGATACAAGAAGAGAAAGAGGAGTACTTGGGGTTTTGGTGACTGTGTAGCAGGGACACTCTTTTGACTTTGGGGATGGTCCCCAGGTCCTGCTTCCAGCTGTGAGCAGGGGTGTATGTCAGATGTGGCACTGCAACAGCTTCGGGTAGCCGCCCTGATTAGTCGTGGACTGCAATGGGTGGCCAGTGACCAAGATACTAAAGCCCTACAGGACTTCCTCCTCAGTGTGCAGATGTGCCCAGGTATGTATATTTGCATGACATCAGTTATGCCCAGATGCACAAGGACAGAGAGGCCCGTGGGGGAGATACTTGGGGATTAGTGGAAGAGTGATGTTCCCAGATAGAAGGGGATGAATGAGGTTGTACTGTATATACCTAGGGATATACCAGGTTTGAGAACACATGCAAATGTATATGGAGGCCTCTCAGGAGTTTCTCAGTCTTCCCAGTGTCCTCAGACACAAAGACCAGAACCGTGCTGGGCGTATGTTAGGGGGAAGCAGGGTCAGCTGAGCCCTTTGTCCTGGGCAGCTGTACCCAGGGATAGGAATGGTTGGGAATGAACTACTCTTGGTTCCATGTGTGAATGTAGACAAGATACTTTCTTGCTCTAGACTTCAGTTTCTTCTTTTATAAAATGATGCTTAAGGCTGTGTCAAATTCTAAGACTCCCTACTCTGGGGTGGGGCTATAGGTAATCGAGATGCTTCCTTTCACCTGCTTCAGACTCTGAGGAGGATGGATCGGAGGGATGAGGCCATTGCTCTCTGGTGGAGCCTGGAGGCCCAAGCTAAGTTGCCACAGGAGAATGCTGCATGGTGAGGCTGAGGCCTGTGGACTTGGGGCCAAGGGCATTTGGCATTCTGGAGTACTTGAGTCTATGGAGGGTGGTGGTGAATGAAAGGGAGGGAATGGCTGTCCAATTTTCTGCCTATCCTTTACCCTTAGACATCACTCTTTTTGCTCTCCAGGTCTCTCCCCCTGTACCTAGAAACCTATTTGAGTTGGATTCGTTCCCCTGACCGTGAAACCCTTCTTGAGGAGTTTCAGACATCTCTGCTGGAACCTTGTGACCTGTAGCTGCCATGTTTTTAAAAGCCTGAACTGCGGCCCATTTCTCCATGGGGAGGGCTTTCTGCTTTACCAATTTTGGGGAATATGGGTGAAACTAATCATTCCTATATAAATCTGGCACTGAAGAGGTTGGTAGTAGTCTCGCCAAATTTGGCCTAGTTACTGCCATTCTGGTTCCAGAAGAAACCCTCCTTGCCACCAAAAAGGCAATGACTTTGCTTATGATGCCTTTTTTCCTGTTTCTCCTTTTCTTGTGTTGAGTAAAATCTCATATTTATCTCTTGTTTGCCTGCTACATCTACTTGAGTGGGAAGGCTCAGAGCTATCTGATTCAGTTGAGTGCTGGTTGTCTAAGATACCCTCTCCCAACATCGTCTACCTTATGAGGTTGAGTTCTTGGTGGAAGAAAGGGCTACAGGAATCCTTGCAGTGGCTTTGGTTCTTTCTGTTGCCTAAAAGCCACAGAGTCCCAAAGCCCAGGATCTGTGCAAGGTGACAGAATGAGTGGAGCTGGGTCTGGAAGGTGGTCTGGGTAGGCCTCTCGGGACAAGGGCAGGTATTTGAGTCTTAGAGGGGAGGGACAAGCATACCTCTGAGTCTGAGTGACTCCTCACTCCAATCCCAAATTCTAGAAATTTGGGATTTGACTAAGTCAACCATGTCTGTGTGGCTATGGGGTGGAGGATTAATTAAATCAGCATGCTACCAAAGCTGATTATTTTATTATTTTTTTAAAGTAGGCTCCACACCCAAAGCGGGGCTCAAACTCACCATTTGGAGATCAAGAGTCCCGTGTTCTACCAATTGATCCAGCCAGGTGCACACACCCCTCTTTTTTTCCCCAAAGCTGCTTATCGCATTTAGTCAGGTCTAGCCTGCATTTGGAACCCAAGAACTTCAAGTCTCATAATGCAATTTTCTTGCTGCTTTGGGTTCTATTGAATCTACTGTGTGTTCTGCGGTTGAGGAACTGTAAAGCCTATAGGACTAGGGTTACCAGAGGGTGCCAAGACAATACAGTGGAGTGGATTAAGAGCTGAGGTGCTATTCAGACGGTTCAGAGTAGGGGTGGCTGGAACCAGCATTTTGAAGGAGTAAGGCGGGGGGTTAGGGTGGATCCTTAGATTTAGGAAGAAGATGGGATTCTTCTTCCTGTGTAGATTATCACTGCAACAGGACTAGACTAATGCAAGGGTTCAATCCATTGTGCCAGGTTCTTCAGCAGGATAAAATCAGGAGCCAATGAACTGGAGCCAAGTAGGAGAGTCCGCCTCCCAGGGATTAAAGGCTCTTCTTTCTCCAGACGATCTGGCTCCGTCCTTTTCATTGATTGGTCGCGAGTTCCAATCCGTCGAGGAAGCGTACCGCAGCGGCCAATTGACGTGGCGTTACTAGGCGTGTTGCATCCCTGAGGCGGGAGCCAGGCCGCAGGCAAATTTCCTGATTGGCTCTGGTCCGCGGGTTGCTGGGGAGAGGCGCGTAGGGGCGGGCGGGAGTCCCCAGGGCAGGCGCTGATTGGCTGAGGTGAGAGCGCCTCTCCTTCCGATGATTCGGCTCTTCTCGGCTCAGTCTCAGCGCAGCGTCTGCAGCCGTCGTTTGAGTCGTCGCTACCGCTGCCCCCTCGCGGAATCAGAGCCAGTGTATACCGTCCGCCCACCGCCCCGGTGTCACTAGGAGGAAGCGAAAAGGAGGCCGCTTGCGGGTTTGTCGCCGCTGCTCGATCCCCGCCCGGGAGAGCCGAGCCCCGGCCCAGTCGGTCGCCTGCCACCCTTCGTAGCCGTTACCCTCGGGCCGCCACAGCCGCCGACCGGGAGAGGCGCGCGCCATGGCCTCTGGAGCTGAGTGAGTGTGTGCGCGCGCCCGCCCGCCCGCTGCGGGTGCGCGCACCTGGGGACTCGCCGCGCTGGGTAGGCCCAGCCAGGCCTGGCCGTGGGCGCGTCTAAGAGGTGGTGACTGGGAAGGAAGGAGAGAGGGAAGGAGAGGAAGGAGGCGAATGAGGGGCAGCGGTCCGGGCTGGGCCTGGCAGCGCAGCCGCGCGCCCCCTAGGCCGGGCTTGTGTTGGGCCTGGGTCGGGGCCTGGGCCAGATCGTGCTGTGTCATGCAGGCCCGGCCGGCCTGATTGGCTCCCTGGGAACCGCTGTCCGGTTCTTGTGAGGTCTGCGGACCCACATTGCCGGCGCGGAGCCCCGGGGCCTTGGGGAGCCCACCTGCGATCAGGTCTACCGTATGCTGAAGGCCTTTGGTCCCCGGAGAGACCAGGCAGGCCCCATGGGCCTGACGCCCTAACTGGGCCCGGTGGGCGTGGACTTTGGGCCACGTGAAGGCCTTAGAAGGCTGGAGACCGAGGCGGAGGCCGGAGCTGGGAAGGCTTGGAGAGCTCAGGGAAGCTCACCGCCGCCCTTTTGGAGCAGGGTCGGCCTGGCCCTTGGTTTCACATCCTCTCGACCTGAGTAGTGAAGGGATGTTCGGGAGAGGGCAGGCCCTGCGTTTTTTTTTTCTGGCTTTCATACTTTAGGCTTGTTGCTATTCACATGAGAAAGCTTTAGTCAGTTTTTCTTGATGTTATGAAACGGGTGCCGGGGAAAGAACTTTTCTTTTCTCTACTGTTTTGGGCTTTTGCAAAAGTTAGAATCTCAGTTGGTAATTTGTGGGCCTTCCTCGATTTCAGCCTTTGTGGTGTGAGGGCTAGAGTTAAACTAGCTCTTTGAACACACACGGCTCCTTTCACCAAACGGCTGTGTTTAGAAACCTTGGGCTCTCCACCCCTCAGGAAAGCATCAGAGAAAACCCGACCATCTCTGCCCGTTAAATTTAGAATCAAGAGCTTTAGATACTGAAGAAAAAAAAGCCATCCTGTGGAAACTCTTCTATGCAAATCACTTTCCTGACTTGAAGAAAGTTTAGTTTTTTGAGGTGTGCTCCTTTTTTCCCCAAGTTTCTAAATGAAGATGAAGTATTATTTTTTAAAACGACTGCTACTTATTAGTACTGATTTTTTTAGGTTATTCAGTCATTTGTTTTCAAGACTAAAAATAAAAATTCAAAATTCTTGGAACCTGGCATCATAGATGGTTTCTAACCTCTAGGTCATCTTAATGACTCTTACCTGAACTCCCTCCAAGTTCCCTGTGGCCCACTGGAGTTCTGGAAAGGGCCTGACTCATGCAGGAGACAATGGGGGATGTCCTCAAAGAACCTCCAGGACTGCTGTTGGCTCAAGATCAGGCTGAAGATCTCTTTTAAAAGTTACATCCTTTGATCTCAGTAGATAGATGTGGAAGTAAATTTACCTTAAAGGAAGAGCATACTACCCATCTCCATCGCTAGAGTTAGAAATGGTAGGCAGATAGGCAGTTTTCCTAGAATGCAGCTTTGGGGTAACTGCTGATTAGAGGCATTTGGCACTTTATTTTTCTCTAGCCCCAGTCTTATAGATCAAACAGGAGGGTGGCCAGTCCTTGGAAGACATTTTGATGGGTAGGAGAGGGAAAATTGATGGGTTTAAATTGCCTTCAGCTGCCACATTGATCATGCTTGTTCTCTAGGGTGTTGATAAGCACTGGAAGAGTCTGCCTGCTCTGCAGCATTATGCCCAGAGTGCTACACTTTTATGTTGGGGAGGCAAGTTTAAGCTGAGGAAACTCCACTCTTGGGAACTAGTTTTGTTTTTAACGTTTATTTTTGAGACAGAGAGATACAGAATGTGAGCAGGGAAGGGGCAGAGAGAGAAGGAGACACAGAATCTGAGCAGGCTCTGAGCTGTCAGCACAGAGCCCGACGCGGGGCTGGAATTCACGAACAGTGAGATCATGACTTGGGCCAAAGTCTGCCGCTTAATCAACTGAGCCACCCAGGCCCCCCTCTTGGAAACTAGTTTTAAGGCAATGATTAAATATGTAGCCTATGTGAGAGGATCAGCAGAAAGCCTACAGCTTTGTTTCATGAATGGGATTTGTATTTCTTTTGGGTGTGTCAGGACCCAAAGATGTAAAAGCCCCATAAGCCCTTAGCTGTTCTTCTGGAGCATAGGCATCTTTTTTTTTTTTTTTTTTTTTTTTTTTTTTTTTTTTTTTTTTCTTGCATTGTGAATGTATATCCAACAGGAATACTGTTTTGTTGATTGATATATCTTTAGATCATAGGACAGTGCCAGGCCTCAAATGTATACTTGCTAATTTGTTGAGTGAAGGAATGATTCATGGAAGAGATTCCATTTTATTTCTTCACTTTCTCCATTGTCTGGCATCCCTATATTGGTTAATGTTCAGATTTTCCTGAGCCTCAGTAAAAGGAGGTAGCTCTTCAAATGGAGAGCCCACTGAGTCTAGTTAGTGATGGCTGGAGGTGAGCTAGGTAAGAAGTTGGTGTCAGATGAATGATCTTCAAGGAAATGATAGAAACTATTTAGACAGTTTAAACTGAGCTTAGACTTGAGCAACCTTAGTTTGGGTGAGGGATTTGGATTTGCTCCTTGTCTCGGCATTTCTTGGTTTTGATTTTTTGAACCAACATTGTGGAATTGTGTGTCTTTGAAGAGCTTTGTAAAGCTCCTTTTGAGCTTGAGCCTCTTTTTGAAGGTTCCAGATCCATTAGTTTAGTTTCGTTTTGTTTTTCCCAAATATCATGGTCTTTATGCCTGACATTTCTGTGGTATACAGAACGCACTAGTGTTCAGCAGGTTTGGCCAGTAAAGATGGTAGTGCTAATGATTGTGCTTCATTGTCCCCAGGCATGCTTGGTGGGACTTGGGGCCTTCCTGAGCCCTGCAGGAAGTTGTCTTGCTCACTTCATTCTCCAAGAAGGTTAGCAAAGAAAGAGCTTATGCTTTGTTCTGCAGCGCTAATCATTGTGACCATTAAAACCATGTACCAGGCATTGTATTGAACATTTTGCATTCATTATCTCACTTAAGACAGTAATTCTCTAAGATAGGTACTACAGTATTTGCTCTTTACATGTGAGGACATCAACATCCAGAGAGGTTGAGTAACTTGCCCAAATTCACA